ATAATTATCGAAGATCTGACTTTCTAAAAAATGAGCCATTGATCTAAACAAACCATAATTTGATGGCAAAATATCTGGGCTATACGGAGGGTGAGGCAATATATTTACTGCTTGCAGTTCTGATAATTTTTCCTTGGTCAAACTCGAATGGTGTTCAGAGGCATTGTCGTGTTGCAAAATGGCTTATTATGCCCACATTTTTAAGAATAAAGCCACTGTTGCAATAGAAGCCTCTACAATGGCCTATAAATCATGAGTAGTTATAATATGGATTCTGGTTCATATATTAAAGAAGAGCATCATCAATGACTGATGGGCAACCTAATCTGGGTGCATCTGCAAGGCTCATATTCCCATTGTTAAAATGCCTGAATCAAAGTGCGGCAGTATTTAGATAGATAACTGACTCACCTATGGCACAAATTTCTTTGGCGGCTACCTTTGAGCTTAACCTATTTTTCAGGTTGTGTGCATGAAAAATTACTTTTGTAACAAACTAGTATATTTATTCCATGCCATTTTCCAGATTTTCCCTTATTCACAAACTAGTAAAGGGTCGAGTGCTGTTGAAAATCTTTAATCCCATTTAATGTATGTACATTTATTTGTCAAAAATAAATATTTTTATTTGATAAACATTCAATATGTTTACGATATATTTAGTCTAATATACTCTGTTTGATTTTATTTATAGGTGGTGCAGATTTTCCTTATGTTTGTAACAGGTGTAATAAGGCATATAGAATCAAGAAAAGTCTCTATAGCCACCAAAAATTTGATTGCGGTTTAGATCCTCAGTTTTTCTGTCCTTATTGTTCTTACAAAGCCAAACAGAAACCAAATTTAAAAAAGCATATTATTTTAAAGCATTACCAACAGTTAACAACTGATCTTCAAAATAAAAATAAAAATGTATCAACTTAAGATTTCCCACTAAATATTTTTGATTTTAATATTAGTATCACCATCACCTTTATGTGTTAATATTGATAAAAAAATAAGAATGTTTTTTGATAACTTTGTAAAATTTGTAAAAATAATAATAGTTTTGTATAAAAGTTTGTTAATGTTCTTAATATAATATGAAAGTCAGCATTTTTGTTGCTTGTTTTTTAACATTTTTAGGACTGGAGAAATGAATTCAATCATCACTTCTATAAAATTAAAAATGAAAGTAAATATGTGTATGTTAGTTTTCCAGTTACCCTAACGTGATGTAATTTTAATCATTGAATTGTCTTAAATTTTATTTAAAATAAATGTATTTTTCCGAGATGGATATATAGTTGACTGTTGAAACTGTGAGTATGAAAAATGGTCAGAATGTGCAATCAAACAAACAATTTTCGTAATCGATAAACATGATTTTTTTTTAAACATGAACTATTTCTCTGCACATCCTGACCATTTTTCATTCTTAAAATATATTTTTTATTGTTTTATATTTATATTTACTATTAATTAATAGTACCAACTAAAAGATCCAAGGTGAATAAATGCCTTTGTAAATCTCTAAATAAACCTAGTGTTTTATTAATTTTATTATTGATCTTACAGTGTTACCGTTTGTTTGTACTAAATGTAACAAGAGATACAGAATCAAACAAAGCCTTTACAGTCACCAGAAACATGAATGTGGAATTGATCCTCAGTTCCCTTGTCCATATTGCCCTTATAAGGCCAAACAGAAACCAAATCTTAAGAAACATATAGTTTTGAAACACCATCAACCTGTTCTTCAGCCATAGTGGATATTTTTATAAATTAAAAAGGTAAAATGTTTTTAGGATAATTTTCCATTCAAATTTAATCCTGTTATTTAATTTATATTGAATCTTTCAGACAATCTAAAGCTTATACAAAAACACATGAAATATTATAATTTGTTTAAATATTTTAATATATATATTGTTAATATGCTTTACAGTATTTTTTAATCATGTCTGATGAATTGTGTTTATCACTAATTGTCAATTCTATTCATACTCAATAGTTCAAGTAAAAAGTACTAATTTTCAAGTTGTGTGTTTTAATTAAAGAATGGTGACAAATTCTGTTTAAATGTTTTGTAAACAAATTTCTCTTCTTATGGTTCAATCTGGTTCCAAGTTGTTCATTAAAGGAGCAGGTGTGTAAATATGATACCGAAACTCTTCCATAGATGACATTAATTGTTAATGTATCCTCTTTTCTTGATGATCCAAGCTTAATGATGCTGGTGGCCCCTCACTCAAAGTTTGTTTAATGAGGCTCTGCTAAAACTAGAAATATGGGTGAGACAAAATACTATGACAGTATACGCATAAAAAACCACTTTTCAGTTTTTATGTCTATCAAAAAAATATCACAGAAACCTCTTCAATACAATGGATTGGTGCTGGAGGAAGGAAATAAATTCAAAGGAAAATAAATAAATAAATATCAAGGGTATATAACGAGATAAATATTTAGTTCGGAAGCTAACTAGTCTGGTGCTTCCAGGATGACGATTTGGGCTGGCTACTGTTCCTCCTCTAAATAACTGATATTTTATATCATAATGGAAGCTAGGAGCATTGAAATTTTTTCTTTGAAAGCACTGATTCTTATGCTGTATGCTGATGATCTAGTGATCCTAGCAGACAAATGAAAATAAACTGAATACAATCTCAGAATACTGCCAATTAAGTTACTGACAGGAAACGTAAACAAAACTATAGTATCATCCCAAAAAAGAAATAGAGTAGCCAAATACATAGACTTGCATATTACAGTCACAGTCCTTCCTGTCAAAGGAATATTTGAATGGGATTATTGAGAAAGCTCAGAACTACTGACTGAGCAAAGACATAGAGTTACCTTACTGAAACATGAAGACACCTAGGAAAAAATCTATCTAATCTCTAATAAGACTAATAGGGCAGGAGCATGCATCAAGAAGTCACTTTGCCAAAAAGTGATCTCCTTCAAGACAGAAGAGAGCTGTCCATTGTGCAAAAAAAGTAATGACACAATAGCCCATCTCATTAGCTATTGCCCTGTTTTAATGGCATGACAAAGAAGGTTAAAGGCAGCACAGAACTAGCTTTGAATAGTTTGGAGGCCATTTTAAGAACAGAAAGTATAACAACTTTTTATAAAATGTATCAATCAGGTTCTGCCACTGTTCTGAAATTAAGAACTTGTAATAAGGCTGAGGAGGAATGCTTCAAGGTGGAACCATGGGAATTTAAAATAGAAAAAGTTTTGTCTTATTTCATTATTTTGAAGCATTAAAATGTAATATTTGTTTTTAATGGTGATATAAATTTTAAAGACGTTTAAATTGTTAATCTATGAGTCTTGGTTTTTTTTTTTAGTTATAAAACATCTGTCTCACAGTATTCTATGGTGTAAGCTTGTAGGTCTTGAATACCCGAACAACTATCTGGTGTCATCCTCTCTTTCCTGAAGAAAAGAAGTCTTACAATCAGGATTCTAGATGAACCTTATAATACCATTATGCTGACATGTATTGTGCCACAACGAGCATATTTTTGCCATTTTGTTCTAAATATATACTATTGAAGTAGTTAACAAAAACTACTGAAGAGCAATTAATTAGCACTATAACAGAGCAAAAAATCTGGAACAAGATTATTTTATGACTGGCAAGTCTCAAAATATCAAAACAATCCTCAGATCAAGACTCTGTTGATATCACTAGTGCAATGGCAGAAAATGTTGAAAATTATGGTGTGCCCCTCACCATCCAGCACTGTACATTGTTTCAACTCATTTCCATAATAATTAAAATGTAACCCGGTTACAGAAAAAGACAATATTTTCTAAAAAAAAATATAATCCGATTAACCTTAAGTTAATCATTTCTTCTAAATTACTTATTGAAAGTAAATGTAAAATTAATCTTAACTCTAGAGCATATTGTTCATATATATTGAATCTGATAAAAAAAAAAAAAAAAAGATATAATTCTTTACTTTTATTAAATTAATGTAATTCTCTTTTCTTTTTCGTCTTTTTTAGGTGTGAAGCAGTTTCCATTTGTTTGTAGCAAGTGTAACAGGGGTTACAGATTAAAGGAAAGCCTTTATAGCCACCAGAAATATGAATGTGGAAAGGAGCCACAATTTTCTTGTCCTTACTGTGTTTACAGAGCAAAACAAAAACAGAATCTTAAGTCCCACATGTTCTTAATACACAGAGATATATTACTCCCAAATAACACTCTTAAATTTTAAATAAATAATATATCATTTTTAAAAAGTTAATATTCTCAGTACATAATTGAGCATACAAATATAATTATATTTAATAAATTTGTTTAATTTATGTATTATTTAATTCTTTTGTAGTGATGTTAAAAGTTTACTCGTATCATAAATGTATAATGTTTTTCTAATTTAGAATAACTTTATTGAAGATAAACAAATCCATAATTATCATTTGTCGGTTTTTTCTTACCCATATGTTGTATTTTTATGAAGTATAATTTTAAATGTGACAACTTTTTAAAATTAATGTTATGGTTGGATTAACATGTTTAGTTATCTTATAGTTCCTAGTTTTGATCTCTCTTATTTGGAAAAATATTGTTATTAATTCATTAAGAGATCTTAAACAAAACAATCTTTTTATGTGATGTAAAAAAAAAAGAAAAGATAAACTAATAATTTAAAAGTTGAAAACCTTTATCTGATTGGCTCTACCTTTTGATTTTCCTTCTTAGGAAGTTATTTTGGGAAATTAATATTGGCTTTTGTTATTTTGTTTCTTGGTTTAAATTAAATAGCCTCCTCTTAATTTACATCTATTTTGTATAGTGTATATAATGAAAACATATATACATTTCTTGTTTTAAAAACTCATTTTTAGTTTATACTTATTTTCAAAGCTTTAAATTTGCTTGATCATAAATAATAATATTAACAATTTTTATTTTGATTAGTTTTGAATTTTGAACTATTGATGAGAACTGATAATTTAAGCAATAATAATGATTTATACATGAGCTACAATATGTACAACTTAAAAATAATCTGAGGAATTAGATATGGAGTTTGAGATTTCTGTTCCATTTCCAGTCATAAGAATGATAACTATTCTGATTTTTTTTAATTTACTGTATGGGGAAAATAATTATGAAAAGTTTAGGTAAGCAGTATCTGTTAATTTATTTATGTATGGTTTATCTATTAGTTTCTAATAATTAATTTATATTTTAGGTCATTATTATACTCCTTGTAAGCAGAAACAATTTAAATGTGATACATGTGAAAAGGCATACACTTATAAAGCAGGACTTTATCAGCATAAAAAATATGAATGTGGAAAAGAACCACAATTTCAATGCCCACACTGTCCTTACAAGTCTAAACAAAAAGCAACAATGAAGACTCATATCTGTAATGTTCATCTTGGCAACCTATCTAATTCTGTGTACAGAACTAATCTCAAAATAAAGGCATTGCAGTCTCAGTTTAATTTAAATTAGATTAAATCTAATGGTTTAGTTTATTTTTCAGTATTATATTTTTTGATAGTTGACCTATGATAAATCAAGAAGTAACTGTCCAGGAGCCAATCAGGAAAAAAATCAAATATGCTATCTATTTATTTGTGAACATTGTTTTGACCCACATCATTGGTTTTCATCAGGACTGAAATATTGACAAGTAGCTGTCAACTTAACACCTGCAAGAACCAGTTAGACAAAGTCTCTAGTATTGAGTTTAGACCCAGACTTCAGGGGAGAGAGGAGGACAATTACCTGTCAAATAAAAATATTGAGGGGGCGAGAATATTGCTTCTCCCTCCTCTCCTCCAACAATTTCATTAAAAAAAAAAAATTAACAATAAATAAGCTACATGAATGAATAAAATATTTAAACTAAAATCGATAAATAAAAAGTCGACTAGCTAGAAGCTAAGGTCTAGCAGTAGCAATGTAACTATCACAACTTAAAGATAATAATATATATATATTTGTGATTCATTTACTCCTCATTTGCACCTCTCCTTTTAATGTGGTATTCTTATCAAATTTTCTGCAGCAAAGTTGAAAAAATATATTTAATAAGTATAAGTGCAAGTTTATAAGTATAAATATATTTTATAGAAAATGATTTTTTTGATATTTTTACATAAATAGTCAGATTGTGAAATATTTAGTATTTTTATTTTGGAGTTTTGCAAATTAAGAAATCAAAAATATTTTTCAGTCTCTAACATTATTCATTTTATGTTTTAAAAGGTGTCTCCAACCCTTCCTGTCTTTAACGTTTACAAATAAATAGTACATTAAATTGTTTTGGTCAGTCAGATATTTTCAATTATATCCATTGGGTTTAAAAAAAAAAAACATACCTACAACTATACATTTATTTTAAAATATGTATTATTATATTTGTCTGCTTCACAATAATTATGTTGTATTTTTGCACATGGTGTAAACTCTCATTTTTTTTTTGTTTTTTTTTGTTTTTTCCTCCTCCCAATCAAAACTGAAAGTTTGTGTCTATGTCTTACTCATTTCTTAATCTGTGTAACGCCCTTTACTGGGTCTTGGCCTCCTCAAGCAACTTTTGCCAGTTTAATGGATGAAGAGGAACTGTAACTGTCCTCTAATTTTGATTTCCAAGCAGGATCCTTGAATCCTCTCCAACATCATCCACCTATCGCAACTTTGGGTGCTCTCTTGGAGAAATCCATGTAAATCTTCCTCAAGCAATTTTTTTCGGTATCTCAGGCAGCAACATCCTAGAGACATGCTCCATCCAGCACAGACTACTGAACTTAACATTTTTTGCTACATCAGGCTCATTAAGTAAGGAGTATTAGTCAATGGGACCAGACCACCCTACGATGCACCTCCCCTCTTTCCCACATCCCTATAAATTGCATATTGTTGTGTTCCTTGTATCTATTTATTAAAAAGAAAAGCCGATGCCCCCACATTGGCTCAATTCTGTCATAATTGACCTTTTATTATTGCATTATTAGACCTAGACTTCAGGGGAGAGAGGAGGGCAATTACCTCTCCAATAAAAATATTGAGGAGACGAGAATATCGTTTCTCCCTCCTCTCTCCCAATAATTTTATTTAAAAAAAAAATTAAAATTAATAATAAATAAGTTACATTAAGCAGCAAAGGTGTAGGAATAGTTCTCTATTGTTTAAATATGATGTATTATTAGAAAATGATACTATAGGACTGTAGTTGTGTGTCTCTATTCAAGCAGGTAGATAAGAAAAAATGAAGCAGCCATCAGTCTATCCAATGATTTTCATGACCACCAACTTTGCATTGTGGACCTGAAATTTATGTAGATAACTAATTGATTTTGTGCAAAGTCTGTATTACAGGAATTAATACAATGATTTTATGTTAGGGATAATTTAATCTTTTGTGACATAAGGAAAATAGAGAGTTTTGTACTATGGTGAATGGGTATGAGCTGGTTTGAGGCTTCTTGAATACCTCATTTTTTAACAAATTAAATTTCAATATTAATTCTTAAATCTTCAAGGATTGTAAATTATGATTAGAGGTTTTGTAATTCCGTCTCTATGGCTCTGATATCTCTATATCCGAATGATTTTGACTTATTGATAATATTTAGTAAAATCATTCTATCCTTCAGTTTGTTCATATCTCATTGTGTTTGTTGTTTCTAAAAGAAAATTTATCTATAATTGTCATTGTTTGTTATCTATGAGTTATTTATATAGTATTTATTTTATCTTTATATTTTAATTTTATCTTGAACAAATCAAATTTAAACATGTATGTCAATTTATTCTGTTTTTAGAAACGTGACTATGGACTGTTCAACTGTGATATAATTTAGTACTTTATGATTTTTAATGATTTATTTTTTTTATATATATTGACAATCTTTTATTGATCTTCAAAGAAAAAAAAGTTAATGATCATCATTAATCAGTGTAGTTATCAACATAGTTCTAAACTACCTACAAATGATTGTGTCTTAAATTAAGACTGATCAAGTTATAATTGAAAAATAAAATTATTATTTATGATAGTGATGTTTTGTTTTTAATAAAAATTCATGATTTAAAATTGATTTATTTTCTTTATTTCTGTATATATTTGTTTATACACACACACACACACACACACACATATATATATATATATATATATATATATATATATATATATATATATATATATATATATATATATATATATATATATATATTATACAAACATCCTTATATAATCTTACGCCTTCTGAGTTCTGAGTATTGAGACTGAGTTCTTAAATTCTTTTGCTGTATTTTCTTTAATTTGAAGGACTCCTTATCTTCGATTGGATTAATCGATTAATTAACTGTTATAAAGAGACAATAATAGAGAGAGACTGTTGTATAAAAAATGTGCTCCAAGTTCGGCTATGGCAGATAATTTTTTCTGATACATCAGCTATGGATTGATCGTGAGGTCAGAAGACCCTTTTGAGGCCCCCTCTCTCTCTATAAAATGGTTATTCTTAATTAAGTGGTGTAACAAATTTGGCAATTGTGTGTGATCTTGGTCAGATCACTTCCTAGCACAGTCCTTGTTCTAGAAATAGTACTCCATAAGTATTGAACCCAAAACTTTTCATGGTTTGTAATGGCATGTCTTTGTTAAAATATTTGTTTGTATAAAATATGTGTATTAAGTTATTATAATTTAGTTTGACTTTTATTAATTTCAATAGTGTTCTCTTATTTATTGGTAAACTTTCAACATTCCTTTTCTTATTTATTTATATGTTGTAGGTTTGAAATCTACTTCCATGGAAAGAAAGTTTAAATGTCTAGATTGTGACAGATCTTATACATATAAATCTGGTCTATACCAACATAGGAAGTATGAATGTGGAAAAGAGCCCCAGTTCCAGTGTCTTTATTGCCCTTATAGATGCAAACAGAAAGTGCATTTAAAAAGTCATCATTACTTGAAGCATGCAGGGCTCAGTAATTGACTGGATTTTTTTAACATGTTCTGGAAATTTTGCTAAGAACTTCCTTAAAAAAAAGTTCTTTATAATTGAAAAATAAAAGGAGATAATGGTTGAGAAAAAATATGACACATTGCATGCTCACTGTTTAGTATATGTGTTTCAACTCACTTCATTAGGTCCATTTCTAATAAGAAAAAAAAAAATAACAAGCCTGAAGCAATATTACAAAGTGGACTAAAATCTTACTACGCATTGAACAGTAAAGTCTTACCGGATGTTTTATTTTGATTCAATCAGGCTTTTATTATTCTCTCAATTAGCTTCTCTTACATTAAATCCAAAGTAAATATTTTTTAAACTACCAAAAAAAAAAAAACTTATTTAAACAGTGAATCTATCAACCCATTCAGTTGCTTGACATTTTAACAGGCACTTATATATGTACTTTGTGTGCCAGTAATTTTGAAAGTAATGCTTCAATAAACTATTCCTCATAACTTTAATTTATATATACATACCGTGAAAATTCTACATGATTATGAAAAAACAAAGAAAGCACGTCTTCTTTTTTTTCTTTTCTTTAATTCCACATTTTAAAGTGTTTTGTACAGAAATAGTTGTATTTTATTGTTTAAAATAAACCAATGGACACAAACATACCTCTATATAACTCAGAATGTTGTAAAATAGTAAATTAATGAAACTTAATGTATAATATAATTGTCTGGTAAAGTATCAGTTGCTCTTATGACAGTTTTACTTGTATTTTTTCCCTCAAATTATGGTTTTCACCAGAAAATGACAGTCATCATGTCAAGAAAACATGAAGCACTTGACTTCAAACAAAATATTGCAGTGATACCAGTTATATACACTAAGCAAGAACTATTGCTCTGATGCAAATTTTAGGCCATATTTTGCCAAAAATGTATGTTACCAAAACATAGAAAAACTTGGGACTAGATCAGAACATGTATTACGTATTTTAACATTAACTGAATATTTGGATTGCTAATGGATATATTTATAAATATACAAGAAAAGAAAGAAAATTCAACAGCGGATGATAAAATTACTGTGCTTAAGAATTATTTTTTATTTTCAATCTAGTTAGTGTTATAAAATTTAAGATTTTCAAAATTATGGCATTTTTCGTTTTACCATAATGTTATTTATTTATTAAATAGAAATTTACCTCCATTATACCGAACGAAGTTTTCTAAATAGACATTATTTTCATGGTAAAGAAAGCCAAATAATTTAAATTTATTCCTTCTAGATTATGAAAAAGCAATGGATTCTTTAAAATTTGATTGCATTATAAACATGTTGAAGAAGAATATTAGTTCAAGGAGGTGTAAAATGCTCAAAGATAAGGATTTGAAATTGAATCCTAAGTATAAGTTAGTAATGAGAAACATGAAAACTTAAGTTTACACTAACATTTTAAAATATTTAATTTACTGTGTTATTTCAATGAAAGAAATGTCAATTTCAACTTAATAATAAAAAAATATGATTTTTCTAATTATTGTTTGAATAATTATTCATTTTATTGTTTTATTTTTAAAAAATATATTATAAGGACAGTATTGTATAATTTAAGTATTAAAGTGATTCTCATGTTTGTACTTTAAGTAGATATTAATTTTGTTTTGTACATAACTGCAAAAACCCATTCTTCATTTTTATTTAAACCAAGAAATGCTGTACTTTATTATTTTATGACAAATATTTTTTAGCAGATATGTTTTTCATTAGTTTGCTGTTTATGTCTGTTTATTAGGTATGTACTCAGATGAAACAGTAGTACAAAAACGTTATAATTGCAATTGTGGCAATCATATAGTCACCGAACTAGTTTGCATAACTATAGAAAATATGAATATGGAAAAGAGCCTCAATTTCCTTGTTCTATCTGTTCATACCGAGCCACAAGGAAATCATCCCTTAAAGTACACATGTATAGTAAGCATGAAAACAGTCAATCATTTGCTAATTTATGAATTGTTCAATCTACTCAACACACATTATTCATTTTGTTTTGTGTTTTCTTCTTATTTCAGTTTCAATCTAGTCATGTACCATATTTAACTTGTATAGCATATACCTTATTTAACCATGTATGATAACTATTTCAGTTGAAATAATAATCTATACTTGTTTCTATTTATAATATAAGTTCATATATTTTAGTTATATTTGGAGAGCTGGGTACTCAAAGTGGCTCAGTATAGATTTAAACCAATATTTTAAATTGTTCTAAGGATAAATTACTTTTCCACAACTTGTTATATGGATATTTTTTTTTTTCATTTTGTTATCTTATATTAATATATTAATATAATTAATCTTATATTAATATATCTTATATTAATATCTTATTGATTTTATTGCTTTATGACATTAATTGATGTTCTATAATATCAACTATTATCTTCTTATATTTTACTGTTTCTTTTAAGTCATTCTTGCTGCTTTTTGTATTAAATAAAATCCTGTAGTTTAACATACTTTTTTTATTTAGAGTAATTGATATAAAGTATAATATAAATTGTTGTAGTTTTATGGTCCACCAGAAGTTCTGACCCTATTCGATTGCCTCTGCAGATATCAGAGGAGTCTGTCTAGACATCCTTAAAAATAGGTGATATTTGGGGTTAAAAGTGGCCTCCTTAACTATTCCTGCATTTGGTCAGTCTAAGATAGATAGATACATTTTATTTTATACGGCTCACTAAGCCGATCTGGTAATAAAGAATATATTAAAATATCTCTCTCTCTCTCTCTCTCTCTCTATATATATATATATATATATATATATATATGTATATATATATATATATATATATAATGCATATTTATGATATAAACATCCTTATATAATCTTCCGCCTCTTTGAGGGACTGAGACTGAGTTCTTAAATGATATTGCTGTCTGTCTGTGATTGACTGTTATAAAGAGACGATATATATATATATATATATATAGATATAATTGTTAAGTTGATTTATATACATATATAAATTAAATGCAACAGAAAAAGTAAAAGCTCCACTTAATCTCATGGTTTTATTTAATTTAAAAAGAAATAATTTATGTTATTATAATGTTATTCTCATTGTTTCAATTATTCCAAATTTAAGTTTTGGCTCATATATATTTATAATAATTTAATCCACCTTAAATGTAATAAATTAATCAATTAACTAGGTGTATTATTTCTATCTATAAAAATAAAATATTATATGATGTATAACTTGCACTCCAGTATTTTTTTCTTATTCCTAAATGTATATTTTTGAATGATTTTGTTTTAATTCTGTTTATTATTATTTTTATAAGTTTTCACTTTTATTGTAAAACTCGTCCAATGGAAATTAAATCTGTGTTCAATTTATTATAACTTATGTAGATGTTCTTCCTCAATTATATTTTATATAGCTATTATTAACTGTTGTAGAATAATGTTTGCATTATATGTTTGCATGTGCCTGTGCACATGTAAAATTATGTATTTATGTATATTTGATTTTGTTTTTTGTTTTTTTTTTGTAGGTGTAATCCAAATTTTTGATGACCCCAATAAATTTATCTGCCATTGTGGTAAGAAATACCGCCATAGGAAGAGTCTTTGGAACCATAGAAATTTTGAATGTGGTGGTAAAGAACCACAATTCTCCTGTCCATATTGTTCTTATAGTGCTAAACGTAAAGGTCATCTCAAAAGTCATGTTTATTTAAAGCATTTTAATGAAATAGTGTCTTGAACTGTATGTTTTTTCCCCTCCTATTTTGTTATTGTCATAGAACATATATATATTTATTTTTCTTTCATCCTTAAAATAATTACTTTATTCAACAAAGCTCACAAATAAGGATTAATATTTTCCCCCAGAAATATTATAGGATAAATACCGTTTTTAAGCTAAGTGTATAAACAAATTCATATGTATCATAAACTGTTGGGATTCTAATATGTATTATTAAAATAATGTTTAATTTTCTTATAAATATAATTCTTTTGTAATATATTATTTATTAATTTTTCTACTAAGTTTGGGTTGAAATATAAAGTAATGATTTTTTGTTTTTTCAGATTTGAAAAATAGTAAAATCTTGAACTCATTATTATATATATATATATATATAAACTAATTAAATACAAATTATCCATTCAAATAATATTTTGACGTGTTATCAGTCTAAATCATTGTTTTTTTCTTTGTTCAAGATTTCTTAAAAGATTTTACTCTAGAACAATACTCATGTGATCGATGTGGCAGGCAGTACAAACACAGATCTAGTTGGTATGCTCATAAAAAACATGAATGTGGAAAAGATCGTTTACATTGTTGTCCCCAATGTAATTATAAAAGCTCAAGAGAAACTTATGTAAAAAGACATATGATACTTCGACATTGTTCATTTTGAAGGAATATTTTTACAAAATATATTATTTCATTATTCATATATTTGTATTAATAAAAAAAAAAGATTATTGTTTGTTATTTTTCATTTCTTAGTAGAATATTTTCATAAATATTTTGCTACTGAAGATTAAGGAAAAACTAAATATGTTGCTTTAGTAGTATTTTAAATTTTTATTTTCATCTGTACACTCATTTCATTGCTGACCTGTTAATTGTCATATGTATGACAAATATTTTACCATTTCATAATAATTCTGGAAAAAGCAAAGCTATATTGGGACAGATTGTAAGAAATACATACTATTTCTTAGGTAGGCCCAAATATCTATTCTTATGTAGACATAAGAAATATTATTTGCTTTGTACTCTTATAAAATAATTAGATACAAAATTTTCTGTGCCTCTTTTTATTTTTTTTCTCTCATTGACTCATTATTTATTTAGACTTTCATTATATAAATGTAAAAAAATATATTACATCTGCAAACATCAGCTTTAGTTAAGCATTGCTTCTTCAAAGATTAACTAAAATAATACTGTACGATTTTTTATTGGTTAATAAAAATTCTATTACCTTACAAGACATTTTATAGACATAAGTAACATCAAAAAATTTTTTTTTTCTTATTTCAATCACATTTAATCTAGGCACCCGGGGAGAGATGTTCCTGGCCGCTCCCTCCTTTTTCCCCCTAGCTCTATCCCAAACTGGATAATAGACTATTACTCCATATTAACTCCTGAAGAATTCTACTTCGAAGCAAAAAACGTACTCTTTAAGAAATTAAATAACATTAAATTGTGCATCGAATGAGTACCTAAACGTAATATGTTGGTTAAGTGATATTTTCGAAAGCCACGGTCAACGAATGCTGATTTTGGTTAAAAGTTGGGATAAATTACTATACATGGCCCTGCTGCTAGGAAATGTTTCCTGATAGAAAAAAAAAATGCATAGAATAAAAATTGTAGAGCAACCAATTCCCCTGAGTAGATGACTTATTCCACCTGAAATAGCTAATCTCCCGATGGCTTGAAATTGGTAATGAAGGTATGTGTGATTTTCAACATTTCAACAGTATGGATCTCTATTCTATGGAGTTAACACATACCTTCAACAAGCATTGTATGTTATTAAAAATTTTAAAAAAACTTACTTCAGTTTCAACATTCTCACATACACACATGTATTATATATATATATATATATATATATATATATATATATATATATATATATATATATATATATATATATATATAGATATAGATATATATAAAATAATTATTGAATGTTTGCTTTGGTGAATGATTTCTTAAGAATTTTTTTATCCAATATTAACAAAAATATGGTGTTTTGAAGGTTTTTTTTTTCATCCTTGTGACAAATGCCCAAGAAAATATAAAAACAAGATTTCTCTAAATCGACACAAGAAGTACGAATGTGGAAAAGAGCCACAGTTTCAATGCCCTTGTTGCAGGTATAAATGCAGATATTGGGGATCAATAAAGAGGCACTTTGTTTTAGTGCATCCCGAAAAAGCTATTAGCTCATCTTTATAACTGTATGTATTTTTATTTGTCTTTTATTTGATTATATATAATTACTGCATTTTTAGGTAAATATATATGTACATAAAAACCTTGTACAGTGTAAATTGGTTCAAGTGTTTCTCATAGCCTATGGATGAATATTTTTCATAGATGATCTAACCGAAAAATTCTGGAGGAAAAAGTTGTAGCTCTACTTCTTTAGTTACTAGTATTGTTTTTAAATTGGTGCACTCAAACTCATGGTTTACAGATAACACTTACTATTTAATCCTCATGTTTTTGCCAAAAGTTGAAAGAGCAGTATAGCAGTTATTACAACTAGAGAAGTAAAATTCTACAGTAGTTACAACTTTTTCCTCTGCCATTTTTTTATTATATCATCCGCTTGAGTGTGGGAAGCATTTAAGTTGATTTACATTTCCCCTCTCTCCCTCGGGAACTCAGGCATACATATATATCGGGTGTCCTATAATTAGAGAGACATATTTAAAGGGGAGATAGCAGACCTCAAGAACTACAAAAAAGTTCATATTAAAAATGGTCTAACTTTCTACCGAAAAGTAGGAAATTTTAGTTTTGCATTTTTTTCCTATTCACTTCTTGTTGAATAGGAAGTGATAACTAAAAAAACAAATTTAATTAAAGTAATTAAAAATTGCTTCACAATAAACTTGACAAAATTTACTTAAAATAAAAGTAGAGTTTGTCATGGCTAAAGTCATTTAAAGATGACTTTTGAGCGACTAAACTAAGTGAAGTTCTGTTTTTTAAAAACATCATGAATTATTCACGATTTTTTTTTCCACCCTCCAATTATACTAAAGACATTTTAAGAAAAACTTCCTTGTTTAATAAGATTGAAGTTCATGTTAATTAAGTAGATGTTAATAACAAAATACGTTTTTGGATTGATGGATGACTGTAGTGAATAATTGAAGAGGAGATTGGGCTACTCTGTCAAAAATAAATAAATTATATTTATTTTTATTTTTGCCGACGTTTATTCCACCTAGTTTATTTTACTTTAAGTTTATTCTACCTACTTTATTTTCCTTTATGTTTATTCTACCTACTTTATTTTACTTTAGGTTTATTCTACCTACTTTAAGTTTATTCTACCTATTTTATTTTAATTTAAGTTTATTCTACCTACTTTATTTTACTTTAAATTTATTCTACCTGCTTTATTTTAATTTAAGTTTAATTCTACCTACATTTTTTAGACTATACCTTTTACCTACGTATTATTATTTTCTTTTTAAAGTTAATTATTTCTCCATACTTATTGTTATCTAGTTTTTCTCTTCAATTATTTTTTTCCCATTACATGGAATGTATTAAAATAGAATAGAAAATAACTTTGTTCTGGGACAAAGTCCCTCGAGAATAAAATTGTATAAAAATAAAAGATTCCCTCTGGCATGAAGTGTAAAACAATAAAAAAATTAAAGAAAACATTAAGTGAACATGCTATTTACAAAATGAATAGAACTATGAACAAAACACTTAAAACTATACAGCATGGTAAAACAGTATACATTTCTAAGGAAAAAAGAATTAAAAAATAAATTAAAATCTTCTTATCAATAAGCTGAGTTTCCACTAAGCTTAAAAGAGAGCTGGATAAAGAGAGTCCATATAATACATAAAATATACAAATACAACATGTAAAGAGCGTGATCATTTTTAACGCAGCTATGCATAGTATTTTAATTATTATAAAATAAATAAAGTTTTAAAACAAAAAATGCATTGAGTGATATCTAAAGTAAGAAATTCTTGTAATGGCCCTATCAAAGAACAGCTCTACCCTTTGATGATAAATTACGTGAAATAAATGTTTATACATTATTATCAAAAGGTCAGCAGGAATCTGACTGTTTTCGGGACAGGAATTAGAGTAGCAGGGTTTTGAATGAAGAAGGAGGGGAAATGCCAAATTTTGATATGAAGGGAATTCCATAAATCGACAGAGCGGGCGACAAAAGAGTTTTAGTATGAGGCAGATTTGTGAGAAGGGATGTACAGGTCAAAAAGGTAAGGGAACGCACTGAGGACTTGAACCGGAGAAGGTTGTAGGCATAAGATTGACGATGGTTGTTGTTGATTTGATAGAGGAAAGTGGCTAGGAAATATTGTCTTTGGAAGAGAAGGAAGAGCCACCTTAACTCACTGTAGTGGTGAGAGACACGGAATGTCTCAGGGTCTCAATTACATATCTTATGAAGCTATTCATTCATTAGCCTTTTCAGTCTATCACGGAGCTCCACCAAGAGGCCATCGTACTCCACACAGCTGTAGTCAAAGTGGGGAAGATGAGAGAAAACTAGGAGTCTACGCGTCTAGGCATATGTTGTGGCAGAAGATGGCGGAAACGATGGAATATTTTGAGGGTAGAGATAAACATGACTGCATTATAATTATGCATTATAAACATGACTGCATCAATACACATTTCATTTAAAAAAAAAAAAGTTAAAAATAATGATTTACGAATATTTATCTGCTAAAGTGGTAATGAAACTGTGGTTTTTACCAGTATCTCTATAATAGGAATTGATTCATATTTATAAGTGACCAACTAAATGTTCTTAATCCTAATATTTATATTTTCATGAAAGTAATTCAGGCAATCAGGTTTATTTTATTTTTTTAGTTTATTTTAGGTTTAAATATTTGGATTTGAAACATTTATTTGGTCAATTATAAAACATTGGATCAATTTCTATTATTATTATTATTTAATAGCACTACCACCCACGAGGGGTCAGGGCCTCCTGTAATGATTTCTGCCAGTCCTGTCTTCTTTGTGCCGCTGCTCTCCAGTTTCTTGTTCCCAGTATGGATCGGGCGTCCGATATCACACTGTCCTGCCAGCGCAGCCTTGAGCGTCCAACTCTTCTTTTGGCTTCGATCATCTCATCCGGATCTTTCGAGTTGGCTCCTCTGGGCTCTTCCTACCCACATGACCAGCCCACCGGAGCTGTCCCACCTTTATAAAACGGATGATGTCCCTATCCTTGTACATGGTCATTATTTCTTGGTTTGTTCGCCTTCACCTGGTGGGTCCCTCTGGATCATAGATTGGTCCCAAAATCCTCCTGAGCACTTTCCCTTCAAAGCGGCGTAAGTCTTCCTCCAATGCCCTGGTCAGCGTTCACGCCTCAGCACCTTAGGTGAGAACAGGCCTAATTAGGGTTTTGTACAGTCACAGCTTTGTTAAATTTCTATTATAGAAATCTTAATAAAGAACTCAATTTCATTATAACTTTAATTGATAAATATTCGAAAAATTATTATTTTAACTTTTTGTAAATAAACTGGGTAGTAGTTATGCAGATATATTTATTATAATACAGGTCATGGAAAAAAAAGAATTCAAATAGTTTTTCAATAATTTATTGTAGTGTCTTTTACAGGTACTGTTAGGTGGCAAGTCTTCTTTTTTATTAAATAAAAAGTGTATTTTCGTCATTAATTTATCATAATTCACCCTAGTTCACAGAAAAAAAAAAAAATTAAAGTTTCATAATAATTTATTGTAGTTATTTTTACTGAAATCACTATTACTCAATGGTGAAAAAATATCAAATCACATTATTTTTTTTTACATAGCTGGAGGTCAATCTCAACATTTTGTTATATCTTCAACTTAATTAACATGGACTTGTAGCTTATTTAACAAGTAAGTTTTTTTAAAAGAGGTATGTCACTACTATAGTTGGAGAGCGATAAAAAAAAAAAAAAAAAAAAAAAAAAAAAAAAAAAAAAAAAAAAAAAAAAAAATCGAATATTTCTTGATTTTTATGAGAAACAGAACTTTGTTAACTTTATTTATCCGCTCAAAAGTCCTTTTTAAATGGTTTTAGTAATGGCAAACTCTACTTTAATTTTAAGTAAATTTTGTCTAGTTAATTCTGTAAATGAATTGTTAATTATTTAATTTAAATACTTTTTTAGTTATCACTCTGGAATACTTCCGAATCTCAAAGAACGAAACGACAAAATTGCTCAAAAATAAAAAAAGGGGGTATCTTAAAAATAAAATAATTGAAATAGAAACTAATGGAATCGAAAATAACGTAAGAGACATGTACAAAGGTATAAACAGATCACGTAAATATGTAGGGCCCGTAACGTCTGGAATTAGGGATGATAATAACAATATTCTGACCGATTCGGTTGACATATTGAATAAGTTTAAGGACCACTTTGACAATATTTTAAATACGGGAAATTATGATCTGTGTCCTCCTGAGTACCAGAGTGCTGAACCGTTAATAGAAGGACCAAGTAAAGAGGAAGTTGAAGTAGCTATCGGAAAATTAAAATCATATAAAGCAGCGGGAATCGATAATATTCCTACTGAACTAATTAAGGCATGCGGGGAAGCTGGAGTTTCTAAAATACATCTGTTGATTAAAAAGATCTGGGTGAACGAGAAATTACCTGAAGAATGGAAAGAATCTATTCTTATTCCGATTCACAAAAAGGGACCGAGGACGGATTGTAATAACTATCGAGGAATTTCACTCCTTCCGGTATGTTATAAAATATTCACTTTAATCTTAACCAGTCGAATCACGGAATACGCCGAGGAAATTATCGGAGACTACCAATGCG